AGTAAGTCTCTGGCAGTTAGACGTTCCTATTTGAAGGAGAATAAAAGATGCTTTGTTTGTTACGGACTTAATCACTCTGTCAAGGGATGCATGAAGAGGAGAAAAATGCAGGATCTGTGGTAAAAGTCACCCAACTGCTTTGCACGATGAGAACTTCAAGCCTATCAAGAAATCTGAAGACTCGACCGAGGCATCCACTATCAAGACACCGATAACTACTAGCACAACAAATTGTAACTCCATGAGTTCCAATGTCAACGAAACTATCCTTCAATCGATCATTCCTGTAAACGTCAGACAGAAGGGAAGTGAGAGGGTAGTTACAACGTATGCATTCTTGGACAATGGTAGTACTGGCTGCGTCATAACGGACAGTCTCAGGGAACAATTGATGCTAACCATTTGTCTACTGTCTTAAAGTTACAGACTATGAATGTCGGATGCAACTGTCCAGAAGCTCTACACCCGCTAGGGATAATCTCTTCAGATGATGGAGGACCGTTTGCAGTTTGTTACAAGCTTGGCTGGACAGTGAACGGACCACTGCAACTAACCCGTAATCTCCAGAACAATACAGTAGTCTGCAACAGAATAGTTCTTCAGGAAACGGTAAAAGTCAATGAGTGTATTACACCTGAGAATGTACTGAAACTGTTTGAGCTGGATTTCAATGAGCATGATATAGGTCAGGATCCTGTTCAGGATGAAGAGACTGCTGTCACACTGATCTCACAGTTGCGATCGGCATGCGCTGAAGGGGGATTCAATCTCACAAAGTTTACCAGTAACAGTAAGCATGTCTTGTCTTCCCTTCCTCCAGAGCATTGTTCTAAAGACATCCAAGCCATAGATCTTAGCTGTGACGACATCCCCATGAAACGGGCTCTCGGTATGCAATGGCACATTCAATCTGACTCATTCAAGTTCTCAGTTGACTTGCCAGAAAAGCCTGCTACACGACGAGGGATTTTGTCTACAATGTCCTCCCTTTATGACCCTCTTGGCCTTGCATCTCCAGTTCCAGCCATGAAAATATTGCAAGACCTGTGCAAGGACAAGTCTCTTGACTGTGATGATCATGTAGGAAAGAGCTGTTGTGATAGATGGAATATGTGGCTGTGAGAACTTGAGTTGCTTAAAGATCTTGAGGTAAGACGCTGTTTGAAACCACCCGCTTTTGGTAATGTTGTCTCTTGCCAGCTGCATATATTTTCGGATGCAAGTGTTACAGGGTATGGATGTGCAGCCTACATTCGACTCTGTAATGAAGAGGACATTCACACTGCCCTGGTGATGGGTAAATCACAACTTGCACCTCTCAAGGTCATCACTATTCCACGACTGGAGCTGACAGCAGCAGCCACTGCAGTGAAGATTGGGACATTTCTTCATTGATAGTACAACATACTACACTCCACAACAGTACTTCACTACATCACCAACGAACGAAACAGGTACCCTGTGTGTGTGACTAATAGAGTAAAGCTTATAAGAGATTACACTGATCTTCAGCAGTGGAAGTATGTGGACTCCCAAAGTAATCCTGCTGATATTGCATCACGAGGAACTACATGTGCCAAGGTTTTGGAATCTTCTCTATGGTTTGATGGTCCACCATTTCTTAGATGCTTTGAAAAGGATTGGCCTGAGCAATCATGTATTGCAAGTAATGAAACCTCAGAAGCTGTTGCTATGACTTTGACGAAATCAGTTGTTGCCGGAACATTGGCATCAAGTGAAGTTGCTCCAACACTACTCATCATGGCAGTAGTGGCAAGACACAGAACGTAAAGGTCAGTAACCTAACGTCTTTATCGCTAACTGTCCAAGAGTTGCCTCGTGCTAGAGAAACTATCCTTAGGTCTGTTCAGCATCAAGAGTACCAGTCTGAGATGAACTTATTGCTGAAAGCAGCAGATGAACGAGGCCGAGTACAGAATGTAAGCAGAAGCAGCCCACTATACAAGTTGAACCCAGTTATAAGAGACGACTTTCTCTGTATTGGCGGACGCCTCAGTAGAGCCGATATTTCTGAAGACATGAAACATGCTATCATTCTGCCCCAAAAAGAACCATGTTTCCACGTTAATCATTAGGGACACTCATGACAGGCTTGGGCATGTTGGGAGAAATCATGTTCTATCAGCCTTGAGGGCCAAGTATTGGATCACAAGGGCAAATTCTGCTATAAGAAGTGTGATGAACAAATGTGTGTTTTGCAGAAGATTGAAGACCCCAACAAGTTCACATATGATGTCTGACCTTCCAGCATGTAGAGTGACTCCAGCTGGTCTATTCACCTACACAGGAATTGACTTTTTTGGATAGTAGGGAAGGAAGTGTGTTAAACGCTATGGCGTGCTCTTCACGTGTCTCAGTAGCCGAGCTGTCCATATTGATACTCACTCGATACAAGTTCCTTTATTAACTCTCTTCATCGCTTTATTGCCAGGAGGGGACCAGTTCAGGAAATCTTCTGTGATAATGGGACAAAACTTTGATGGTGGAGCTAGAGAGCTCAAGGAGTCTTTGGATCAGCTCGATCAAGAAAAATTCATTCTGATATGCTTCACAAGTAGATCAATTTCAGCTTTAAAATTCCATCAGCAAGCCACATGGGTGGCGTTTTGGAGAGACTGATCAGATCTGTCCGCAGCATGCTCAGTCCCATGCTTCATGAGTTTGGATCATGCCTTGACGATGAGCTGTACAGTCATTATTATGTGAAACTGAGGCTATCCTGAACTCTAGGCCTCTTACTACAGTTTCTGGGGATCCAGACGACCTTCACCCCTTACTACTCCAAATCACCTCCTTATGATGAAGCCTGATGTTTTTATCCCACCGCCTGGCACGTTTCAGTAGAATCATGTGTACGCCCGCCAGCGTTGGAAACGTATTCAGTATCTGACCAACGTCTTCTGGTCCAGATGGAAGAAAGAGTACCTTCAGTCTCTGCAGCAACGACAAAAATGGAATTGTCCTAAGAGGAACTTTCAACTGGACGATGTTGTTCTTATCAAGGATGACACTTTACCCAGAGTGCATGTTCCATGGGTCGTGTAATCCAGACTGAGGTGGATACGCATGGCACTGTCATAAGTGTTTTGTTGAAAGCAAGAGGTGCAGAGTTACGACGACCCATTCACAAGCTGGTTCTGCTCCTCCCATCGGGCTCAGCACAGGTTGGAATGTGAGGCATTTATTGAACATTGCATTATACATGTATATGTCTGAGTCTGAGTATGGTGTTACGCCGTTTTAGCAATATTCCAGCAATATCACGGCAGGGGACACCAGAAATGGGCTTCACAAGTTGTACCCATGTGGGGAATCGAACCCTGGCCTTCGGCGTGACGAGCGAACGCTTTAACCACTAGGCTACCCCACCGCCCCACATTATATATGTATTTGTTAAACTATATTGGTATGTTTAAGAGGCCGAGTGTGTTAATGGGAGATTCATATATTTCATTTATTCTGTGTACACTTTCCTCATGCAGATATCATCACATAACTTCCATATGCATCACAAATGTTTTCCTAATCTGTACTGTCTCCGTAGCACAGTGCAGCTGTAACTTCATCATACCAGTATCAGTTATTACCTCTTTGGTAGTAATCCAGCCATCTAGGGTTCAAAGTACATGTGGTACTGGGACCCCATGCTTCAGTGTGTTAGCAGCCTCCATACTGTCAAGAGGTCTCCTCTGACTTAAATTTCAACGTAGCACACAGGAACACAATTTTTCCAAAAACTCATCCGCTCATCCACTCATCCGCTTATCCACTCGTCTACTTATCCTTTCATACAATGGCTAACGATCAACGTCGAACGTATACTCTACATCAACGCCTTACGTATCATTGTTTCCCATCAAAAGAATAAAACCCTGTGGATGCGAGTTACTGGAAATTTGTTTCATTTGTAAATGAAAACGTACATGTATGTTTGTCACCAGCAAGATGAGAATAAATAGAGGATATTATATGAGTGCCCATGGCATACTATGTTTATTACACGAGTGCCTAAATGTCAGTATTTCCCGAGCGAGAGCGAGGGATACACCGATATTTAGGCACGAGTGTCATAAACATAGTATGATATGAGCACGAATATGATATTCTGTTTATTACCGAAGTCGTCAAATTGGGGAAAATAAACTCAAATCTACTTTCAAACATAGGCTGGCTACCCGCCATAGCCGCATGTAGAACGCAACGTCACAGAGGAAACCTGACGTCATAGCATTGTTCATGACGTCATGTCACCATGACAAAGTGATATTTTGACCCAGGGCATCGTATGAAAATATGATCCCACACTCCGGCACAGCGATGACTAACATAACATCACTGCCACAGGCTAATTTGCATATCACGTGACCGGACTTTTCTCTTGTTTGTAATCAAACGCGCATATTCATAATAAGAAGAGACTGGACTCACGAAAGCTATTCGGCGCTCTTCATAATGTTTTACATTGTTACATATATATTCTTCACAACTGCGACAGTAAAGTCTATGACAGTACATATTTAGATATCAAACTGGCTGCATCGTTTGCTCTCCATCAGCTTCGATGACAGCACGTGGAGCCGTACAACCTATGTAAACAAAGGATCGCGACGCAAATCGAAATAGTGTTACATGTTTTAGGATATTTTCTCAATGAAACTAAACCATTCCATCAAAGATGTTTAATTAGTTGTGTAGACTCGTCAAAAATAAAAGAGTTGAGAAATATGTAAATTATATTGAATGGACGGTGCAAGATGTGACGAATCGTCACATTTTTCTGGCCTGTGGCAGAGATACTATGCTGGCTTGCCGCATGGAACTCTGGGTAGGAGAGTGATATGATCCCCGATATGTTCGCCCTCGTAGGTAATAAATATATATATAAATATAGACAATACCCAGTCTGGATAACATGTCGAAACAGATGCCACTGCTTCTCTGCTCGCCTAATAGGTCTTGGTATTTGAAACACAAACTCATAACAGAATAAAAATGTATTATCACAAATATATCTTACATATCTCACATATTATCAATCCACATTTATCACATAATAATATTATCACAATAACTATTTCATCGATTTACCGTGGATGTAAATATAAGGGACAAACCCTTGGATAATAATTGAAGCAGACTGTACGATAACGATTACATCAATAGCAGGTGTTAATGAAATGTTTATCAAATAGTGATGACACAAGTCCATGGCACGCGTATTCCACATGATTACAATAGGAAACAGATGAGGCTTTCTTAAAGTTTAGGGGAGGTGGGGAAGCTTCGTGGTGGAAGCGTTCACTCGTCACGCTGAAGACCCGGGAAGCCCCTTTCTTGTGTCCCCTGCCGTGAGGTTGCTGGAATATTGCTAAAAGCGGCGTTAAACTAAATTCACTCACTCACTCAAATTCTAGCTCAGTTACGTAATCAATGGAAGGGAACTAGCTAAACATCCAAACGAAAACAGCATAAAAATTGATGGCATATCTAGTGTGTTCCATATTAAACCAATTATGGAAAGGACCAATGATGAGCGAGTGAGTGAGGTTTTACCCCGCTTTTAGCAAAATTCCAAAAATACAATCTTTGATAAATGTAATCAAACATATAACATGTAAACATATAAACAAAATATAGTAGATCAATTTGCACCGGAGCATAAACATATTTATACAGATTTGGAAACACTGACATGGATGGCCTATGTGAAAGTTAACCTGCAGAAGGCCGTGGGACATTCATGTGCGATGTTGTAATAAGAAGAGCACCACAAGGCAAAGTCTGGTCTTGACAAGGGTACGCATCTTCTTTCCCGTGGAGGTGCTGGTCGAACACCAGCGTCCTGTCCTTCCTGACATGAGCAATAGCATATATGGTTTGGGCAGTAACCCAGCAAGCAATTGTCTTGACACCATGTGTCATTTATATAGCTGTATTTGGAGTAGCACTGATAATGTGGAGACGACGAATCGCACACTGGTGTTGTTGTTTCTGCGATCGTAGTTGAGGAGGTTTCTTCTGATGACATTGTAGTTGTGGTGGATTGTTCAGATGTTGCAGTGGTAGTTTCCTCTGATGTTGCAGTGGTGGATTCTTCTGATGTTGTTGCAGTGGTGGATTCTTCAGATGTTGCAGTTGTGGATTCTTCAGATGTTGTTGCAGTTGTGGATTGTTCAGATGTTGTTGCAGTTGTGGATTCTTCAGATGTTGTTGCAGTGGTGGATTCTTCAGATGTTGTTGCAGTTGTGGATTGTTCAGATGTTGTTGCAGTTGTGGATTCTTCAGATGTTGCAGTGGTGGATTCTTCAGATGTTGTTGCAGTGGTGGATTCTTCTGATGTTGTTGCAGTGGTGGATTCTTCTGATGTTGTTGCAGTGGTGGATTCTTCAGATGTTGTTGCAGTTGTGGATTCTTCAGATGTTGCAGTTGTGGGTTCTTCTTCAGATGTTGCTGCAGTTGTGGATTGTTCAGATGTTGCTGCAGTTGTGGATTGTTCAGATGCACTGCAGTGGTGGATTCTTCAGATGTTGTTGCAGTTGTGGGTTCTTCTGATGTTGTTGCAGTGGTGGATTCTTCTGATGTTGTTGCAGCTGTGGATTCTTCAGATGTTGTTGCAGTTGTGGATTCTTCAGATGTTGCTGCACTGGTGGATTCTTCTGATGACGTTGTAGTGGTGGATTCTTCAGATGTTGTTTCAGTGGTGGATTCTTCTGATGATGACGTCGTAGTAGTGATGGATTCTTCAGATGTTGCAGTTGTGGATTCTTCAGATGTTGTTGCAGTTGTGGATTCTTCAGATGTTGTTGCACTGGTCGATTCTTCAGGTGTTTCAGTTGTGGATTCTTCTGATGTTGTTGCATTGGTGGATTCTTCTGATGTTGTTGCACTTGTGGATTCTTCTGATGTTGTTGCACTTGTGGATTCTTCTGATGTTGTTGCAGTTGTGGATTCTTCTGATGTTGTTGCATTTGTGGATTCTTCTGATGACGTTGTAGTGGTGGATTCTTCAGATGTTGCTTCAGTGGTGGATTCTTCTGATGATGACGTCGTAGTAGGGGTGGATTGTTCAGATGTTGTTGCAGTTGTGGATTGTTCAGATGTTGTTGCACTGGTGGATTCTTCTGATGTTGTTGCAGTTGTGGATTCTTCTGATGTTGTTGCATTTGTGGATTCTTCTTCTGATGACGTTGTAGTGGTGGATTCTTCAGATGTTGCTTCAGTGGTGGATTCTTCTGATGATGACGTCGTAGTAGGGGTGGATTGTTCAGATGTTGTTGCAGTGGTGGATTCTTCAGATGTTGTTGCACTGGGATTCTGGATTCTTCAGATGTTGATTGTTCAGATGTTGTTGCACTGGTGGATTCTTCTTCTGATGATGTTGTAGTGGTGGATTCTTCAGATGTTGTTGCTGTGGTGGATTCTTCTGATGATGACATCGTAGTAGTGGTGGATTGTTCAGATGTTGTTGCAGTTGTGGATTGTTCAGATGTTGTTGCAGTGGTGGATTCTTCTGATGACGTCATAGTAATGGTGGATTCTTCAGATGTTGTTGCAGTGGTGGATTCTGATGATGATGACGTCGTAGTAGGAGTGGATTCTTCAGATGTTGTTGCAGTGGTGGATTGTTCAGATGTTGTTGCTGTGGTAGATTCTTCAGATGTTGTTGCAGTTGTGGATTCTGATGATGATGGCATCGTAGTAGGAGTGGATTCTTCAGATGTTGTTGCAGTGGTGGATTCTTCAGATGTTGTTGCTGTGGTAGATTCTTCAGATGTTGTTGCAGTTGTGGATTCTGATGATGATGACGTCGTAGTAGGAGTGGATTCCTCTGATGTTGTTGCAGTGGTGGATTCTTCAGATGTTGTTGCTGTGGTAGATTCTTCAGATGTTGTTGCAGTTGTGGATTCTGATGGCGTCATAACACTGGTGGATTGTTCAGATGTTGTTGCACTGGTGGATTCTTCTGATGTTGCAGTTGTGGATTCTTCTGATGATGACGTCGTAGCAGTGGTGGATTCGTCAGATGTTGTTGCAGTTGTGGATTCTTCTGATGATGACGTCGTAGCAGTGGTGGATTCGTCAGATGTTGTTGCAGTTGTGGATTCTTCTGATGTTGCAGTTGTGGATTCTTCAGATGTTGTTGCAGTTGTGGATTCTTCTGATGTTGTTGCTGTGGTGGATTCTTCAGATGTTGTTGCAGTGGTGGATTGTTCTGATGTTGCAGTTGTGGATTCTTCAGATGTTGTTGCAGTGGTGGATTCTTCTGATGTTGTTGCTGTGGTAGATTCTTCAGATGTTGTTGCAGTTTTGGTTTCTTCTGATGGCGTCATAACACTGGTGGATTCTTCAGATGTTGTTGCAGTGGTAGTTTCTTCAGATGTTGTTGCACTGGTGGATTCTTCAGATGTTGTTGCAGTTGTAGATTGTTCTGATGTTGCTGCATTGGTGGATTCTTCAGTTGTTGTTGCAGTGGTGGACTCTTCAGTTGTTGCAGTGGTGGAGTCTTCAGATGTTGTTGCACTGGTGGATTCTTCTGATGGCGTCGTAGTAGTGGTGGATTCTTCTGATGGCATCGTAGTAGTGGTGGATTCTTCAGATGTTGTTGCAGTGGTGGATTCTTCTGATGGTGTCGTAGTAGTGGTGGATTCTTCAGATGTTGTTGCACTGGTGGATTCTTCTGATGGCGTCGTAGTAGTGGTGGATTCTTCAGATGTTGTTGCAGTGGTGGATTCTTCTGATGGCGTCGTAGCAGTGGTGGAGTCTTCTGATGTTGCAGTGGTGGATTCTTCAGATGTTGTTGCACTGGTGGATTCTTCTGATGTTGTTGCACTGGCGGATTCTTCTGATGACGTTGCACTGGTGGATTCTTCAGATGTTGTTGCACTGGTGGCTTCTTCTGATGACGTCATAGTAATGGTGGATTCCTCTGATGTTGCAGTGGTAGATTCTTCTGATATACTCGAGGCAGACACTGACACTTCTGTCGTTTCAGAGGGAGAGATTGAGGAGGCCATCATTGTTGAGACAGAGATTGTGCCTTCTGACATTGTCGAAGAAGAGATTGAATCTTCTGTTGTTGTCGAATGAGATATTGAGGCGTCCGTTGTTGTTGTCAACTCCGAGATTGAGAGTTCTGTCGTTGTCGAGGCAGAGATTGTGTTTTCTATTGTTGTCGAGGCAGTGTTTGAAACGTCCGTCGTTGTCGAGACAGTGATTGAGGCGTCTGTCGTTGTCAAGGGAGAGATTGAGTCTTCTGTCGTTGTCGAGGCAGAGATTGAGGCGTCCGTCGTTGTCGAGGCAGTGACTGAGGCGTCCGTCGTTGTCAAGGGAGCGATTGAGTCTTCTGCCATTGTCGAGGGAGAGATTGGGTTTTCTGTTGTTGTCGAGGCAGTGTTTGAGGCGTCCGTCGTTGTCGAGGCAGAAATTGAGGCTTCTGTCGTTTTTGAGGGAGAGATTGAGATAGACGAGGCCTCTATGGTAACACTACTGGGAAGTGTTGCAACAGTGGACACACTACTGGTGAGCCCTGTCGAGAAGGATGGAGTATGTCCCGACACACTACTGCTCACCGCTATGCTGGTCGTAAACAGGGGAGGGAGGGACAGAAGCATTGTGGTGACTCCGCCATCTGAACTACCACCTAGAACCACTGACGATGGAAGAATGTCATCACTTGTCATTAAGGTTGAAGATGTTTCTAAGCCCTGTGACGATGACACTGTGGATGCATCTATAATCGTGGAGGTTGCATCGCTCAAGCTTGTCATCGCTATGCTCTGATCTCCTATTGATGCGGATGTAATCATGATAGGGGAGGATGAGCTGGATGTTGCCACACTCAAGTCTGATGGTGATGATGAAGCTACTGACGTCTCAGAGATGGAGGATACTGGATCGGTTACACTGGTGTGTACAGATGTCACTGTGATAAGAGAGGCATCTTCACTTGAAGGAAACACGCTTGAGATTGATGGCTCAACACTAGAGGCCGTCGACTGTGCTGGTGAAATGATTGTACTCAAAGTGTTCTGAATACGGATGTCTGCACAGTTGAAAAACTGTTCCTGGGGACCACAACCTCGGAATGGACAAGTATCTCCGCCGTATCGATAACCTGAAGTAATGAACAGGATAACGTTATGAGTGAGTATGGTTTTACGCCCCTTTTAGCAATATTCTAGCAATATCACGGCGGGGTTCACCAGAAATGGGCCTCACACACTGTACCCATCAGGGGAATCGAACCAGGGTCATCGGCGTGACGAGCGGACGCTTTAACCACTAGGCTACCCCACCACCCCTATAACGTTGTGTAGAGATACAGCTGCAGTACATATATACAGTTAAGTGAGTGAGTGAGTGGGTGAGTGAGTCGGGTTTTAGACCAATTTCACATATATATTGGGCCCCTGTGGGGAATCGAACCCGGACCACTAGGCTTCCCCTTGTATACAGCTGCAACAATTACTCTGAGTAAAATTCAGATGAATTTCTCTACCCAAACCCGAATCCATTGCACAATTCCAACAAAATCATAAAGATCATAGCATGTAGTAGAACAGAGACTTTTTTGTTTTGTTCGTTGTTTAACGCCGCGATCAGCAATATCTCGACTATATGGCGGCGGTCTGAAAAAATTGAGTCTGGACCAGACAATCCAGAGATCAACATCACGAACATAATATATATAATGAATCATTAGTGAATGAATAGTGATAACATTGGTTGTTTGCGAAAAGGTGAGCGTATCCTGCCCCACCGGTGGCACCTGTCATGGAGGAATGAACCCATACGCACAAGCACACGCACGCACACGCACGCGCACGCGCACGCGCACGAGCACAACTATATACAATGACAAATATCACAAACCTGTGTTATATTTGAACTGCAAAACACAGTGTTCACATGTGATTGCTGGTGGGAGAAGAACGTTCGATACGACTGTTCCATTGAAACTGCCAGGATAGTACTGAGACTCATTGATATCCTCAATCACCAGCAGGTTCTTATCGAAACAAGCTTGAGTTGCTGGTGCCTTGAACTCGTCGAGGTCGCACAGGCGAAACTCGAAATACCCGAGTTGTTGAGGCGGCCATATCTCTACCCGCACTGTCACTGAGGCTCCAGGTTCGTAACTTCCGGCGATGATGCCCAGTGCGTACTTCCCGCCAGCCTCGTTTTGGCGTTCACCATCACAAGGATCTCCACAGGGGCCGCAACATCCTTCGTTGTCTGTGTCCGTCCACTGACGCTGTAACACAGAAAATTATATTCCTTGGAATTTGCTTGTTTATTGTTAACAGTGAGTGCCTTTAGTTTTACTCCGCATTTAGCAATATTCCAGCGCTATCACGCGGGGGACACCAGAAATGGGCTTTACACATTGGACCCATGTTGGGAAACGAACCCGGGCCTACGGCGTGACGAACGACGCTTTAACCATTAGGCTACCCCACCGCCCCTGTTACTTTAACGCCACACTCTCTGTAAGTAGTTGGGGCAAGGGCAGCCGAACCAGTTATTGATATAGTGAATAACGATCCCTGTTGAACAACGATATACGTCAAACACCAGCCAAGTCACCCGGTCTGATGAGCCAATCCAGTACGTCACCTTTAACAACCATCATAGATTGATAGGGACCTTTGATAACCGAAAACAGGGAGCACTGATACTGATAACAAAGGAATTAAAACGGCGGCGGTGTGTAAATAATGGAGTGAGCAACAGCATGAGCATCGATCTACGCAATTGGGAACCGATGACATGTGTCAACCCAGTCAGCGAGCCTGACCACCCGACCCCGTTAGTCGCCTATTACGGCAAGCATGGGTTACTGAAGATCAATTCTAATCCGGATCTTCAAGGGTTACCTCCTAAGTCAAGCTGTCATAGCTTGTTCGAACTGGAATAAAGGTCAAAACGGATAAAACTAATTCACTCCCTCAGTCTGGCGACAAAAGTACAGAACCGACCAAACAATGAAACTAATCTGACCAGCCTCTTATTCTGATTAGAACATACTCCACAGTCGCTCGGGGTTTGTGTCAGCTGGTGAATGGGTTGACATGAAAATACCGAAAGACCTCAGACATCGTAATTAACATAGTTCCTTACCTGGATAGTTTCATGTGTCTTTTTGTGGTGGTCCGATTAATTGAAATAATCGAAGATTGGTCGCAATGACTAAGCGACCAAGCAATCGATTGTGTTTTCTCATAATCGAACACAACCAATTTTGGAACACTTGTTTGCATCAACAATATTTTACACAAGGTTGGTTTTATTTGTGTCATTAAATTTACATTTCATAAGCACTACAAGCTCGTTCCAAGTCATGATTGAATTTATCTTAAAGAATCCAGGAAATCTGTGTTCCTAACATACAAATCATCCTTTAAATATGCGAAATTTGCCAATGGATTTTGTGCAATTTGCAAAAGACCCAATTGCAAATTACTACATGTTTTTTCTTTATTTTTGTGTGTGTGCATTAACAAAGATAACAGGAACATTTGATAAATGACGCAAACCAATTATTTTCGATGATTGATCGGTTGTAATGAACCAATCATCAATTATGAGATTTTAACCAATTCCCAACACTAGTGTCTATATATATATAACTTGTAGATACATTGCTGATCAGGTTAATATGATTTCAAGTCGACAGCGACACAATTCTAGCAAGTTCCAACAATAAAACAGCGGGGGAAACCAGAAATATACTTCGCACATTGTACTTGAGAATGAACTTGTTTGTGTATAGGTAGGGCGATTCTATTTATTTAGACAGAGTTTATATCTCGGTATAGCGTCTCTGATTGAGACGAGACGGGAGTCAGTCTTAGTTTAGAGTTTTACATTATTGTGCAATATGTGTCATGACCGTGGTCTACCAACCAGTAGGTCAGCGACCCTCTCAGCTGGTGGCAGTGACTCCAACACCTCAAGCACTGAAATCCATATCACCTGCACATAGGGTCGTCGGATACGCCGCGAGGTAATTAATTTAAGGTAAACGCAAAACATTATTAGACCTAATCCACTTTGATATACCTTTACCGAAACATAGTCACGCTCATGTTGGTTATATGGAAGTTCTTTACAGAGTAGGCCCTAGGCCTTCGTAAGTTTCGTTCTTCTATACATTCAGCCTGAAATAAATCTTATCAAACACAGCACATACACTTAAAGATAGACATGTCATAAGGGGGTGGAGGGGTATGGTTGTGGAGGGTGGGGAGACATTTTTAGCTATGAAAGAAAAAAATGTTTAATTCTTTCGGAAATCATCACATCCGGGTAATGACGATTATACGAAAACCGCAATTCTTATAATTTGCCGATTTTAAAAAAAAAAAAATTCCAACTTCATATCAGCTTTTCATATTTTTTATGTAACTTGTCTTGACAAAGTCAACACAATAATACACGAACGTTTACACAAACAGGAAACGGGCGTAGCGTGTACAGCACGGTGCACCTCAAACACAGGTATGTCAGAATTAGACATTTCGGGCGTGTACGTACAAGGAAAGGGACACCATAACACGTAATGCCCACACTAAAAGTTTCATCTTATGCAGAGAAAACAAAAGCTGTAATAAACAAATCCCATTGCACTGCATTTGTCCTTCAGCTGTCACAGAGCTACCGGGCGGTGGGGTAGCCTAATGGTTAAATCGTCCGCTCGTCACGCCGAAGACCCGGGTTCGATTCCCCACATGTGTACAATGTGTGAAGCCCATTTCTGGTGTCCCCCGCCGTGATATTTCTGGAATATATTTGTAAAAGCGACGTAAAACCATACTCACTCGCTCACTCACTCAGACAGCTACCGTGGGTTGCCTATATTATTATCAAAACAGTATTAATTGCAAGATCACGAACATTCGATTGTTCTTCCCAGGACGTGCACGTGATATCTTACCGTCAGCCGTTTTCTAATTTCAAATGGTAGGTTCAGAACTTTCGGGGTTTAATTAAGAATTCGATTCGAGTGATGTCTTGATGAGAATTGATTCACAAATGTTGGTTTCCTTATTTATTAATCATGTAAAAAAACATGTTGAAAGTATCAGTTGTTATTATCATATCAAGAATATAATTGAATCAGATCATACTAAGCTAGCACTGGGTACAGCCGGAAATATAGATCTCTTCTGAAGATTCGGTAGTGGAAGAGTTCTCTTTACAAGCCGGAAACCAGTGATCATGTTCGCCCAAGTTTCTAAGTTCATTAGCGCCAAACCCATGCTCGTGTTTTTCACCAGGTACTAAATGTCCAAGATCTGTGCCACTGTGACCTTTCCTCTCATCTCAAGCTGTCATGAGGGGCGGTGGGGTAGCCTAGTGGTTAAAGCGTTCGCTCGTCACGCCGAAGCCCCGGGTTCGATTCCCACATGGGTACAATGTGTGAAGCCCATTTCTGGTGTCCCCCGTCGTGATTATGCTGGAACATTGCTAAAAAGCGACGTAAAACCATACTCACTCACTCACTCACTCAAGCTGTCATGCCTTGATGAATTGGTTTGATTTGGTCTGAGGTTTTTGTACGCCGCACTCAGCAATATTCCAGCTATATGGCGGCGGTAAGACCTAAGGCACCGTATATCAATACGGGGAATCGAACCCGGTGTTCGGCGTGACGAGTGAACGCTTTAGCCACTACTGTACCCCATCGTCCAGTAACAGGTAAGAATTCTTCACCGATTTCATGTAATAAAGTAGTCCTGGTAAAATGGGATTATACCAGGGTGTGAGGGTGGTGGGTGGAGGGGACATCTCTTATCTGATTTAGGCTGGGGTACATTTCTGTATACATGTCTTATCTGAGACATCTGAACTTGGCTACGGTACTTTCCTGTATACAGAAACGTACCTGGGGTACACATCTGCAGTACCCGTGTCGACAACAACCCTTTCAGCTTAACTTTGAAAATATACCATTTTAAAAAAGTAGGGGATATTGGATTTACAAGATAGATAAAATGCAAATGATGAAGCCAAGAAGGAAACAGATGATGAAGAGAAATTAAGGGAAAATGTGACCATTTATTCCATTCCATTGGAACTGTTTCATCTGTATGGATATATTTTACTTTTCTCATATGCATTGGTATTGACTAGTTTTATGCTCGCAAAGTGGAATATCCCCTACTTTTTTAAATAGTATATAAGGTCCGTCATTCGGACAGCTTGGCTCTAACGTTTATTATACTTCGACTCAAACGTAAAACACGTGTGCATAGGAGGATCCAGAGGGTTGTGCATCCCTAAATGACCATTGAAACTCTCGTGAAAATGTGTGCACCCCCTTCTCAATATTGTCCCCTTTTTCTCAAAGAGTTGTATCCGTCCCTCGTGTGTCTTCCGAGCCTGATGAAAAAAGAACCAAACGCTGCATCTTCACGGCGGTATGACACGACGGCGTGGACGTGTCTGACGCCACGACTCCATCAATTCTAACATACACATCGCTACGGGGTCAACTATAAGTAACCGCTCGTCATAGAATAACGTATGCGTACATTTCACACCCATGACGGATGAGGTGGAGATTCACGCGTTGTAGAGTTGTAACACTGCTGTAGTCGTGTTTCCTGGCCAGGTTACTTAAATAATTGCCCCAGATCCCTCGTGTAAGCTTCTGGGTGGGGTTCCATGTTGATACAGCCTTGTCTGCTTCTCATTCCGGGTTATATATAGCTGCATTCCTAACCATCTCATAAAGTAATCTGTTCTGCTTCGCCCCAAGCATGCCTTCAAGGAAACCTTTTTGAACAGACACGAGCCGTTTGGTGAAGAAGTTATCTGCAAAGTGACCTCCCTTGTTTTCCGAACAGTTACATGAGACACTGTTGTGTTCCATGTTTACAGGGGCGGTAGGGTAGCCTCGTGGTTAAAGCGTTCGCTAGTCACTCCGAAGATTCGGGTTCGATTCCCCACATGGGTACGCTGTGTGAAGCCCATTTCTGGTGTCCCCCGCCGTGATATTGCTATAACATTGCAAAAAGCGGCGTAAAACTCACTCACTCGCTCCATGTTTATAAAGGCGGAATGTTTATCATATAATATATCTACAGCACAAAGCGGTTCCAGCCTGAATGGTTCTGTCGCTAACGCATACGTATATAAACTCCGGGCAAATAAACAGTTCATATAAAAATTGGATTTGATAAAAGATAGACAAAACGAAAAACAGTCGCCGAAACACTGCAAGCTTAAAGTTCAAAACACAACTGTGCTACCGATTTCATATACATCACCATCGAATAATTTCCTGTTTGTTTCCTTGTAGTCACCATGTACGCATTCTTTAGCTTAAGGTTTATGATTTATGTATTATTTCCTTGTCGACTGGTGTATGTGGCTTTCCTTCAAATAAAACCAAATACCGATAACAGAACATCAGAGATAATTTCCGCTAACACCTAGTGTCAACACTATTTTCATAAATACATACTTACGATAACTGAGAGGTAATAATAAAAAGTAATTAATTTTGTAAAAATATATCGGTTAAATGGAGACGAGGGTAAGCAATGAATCTGTATACACATTTATTAATTTGTAAAGATATGATACCCATCAGAAATTGTGTAATATGCGTAATGTATACTTCCTTCCAAAAGTTTAGATTCACATAAAACACTCACTATATGTTATGCATATACATATGGTTACATCGAAGATAGATTTCTCCACTAACTTGGGGGAACCAACTGCAAACCTTATGCAGATGAATTGCACGAGGACCATGCATCAAATTGCTGAAAAGCATGTGCAAATATCGTGCATGTGAACAGCTGCGTTTTGGTGTAGAGTTTAAGAATTCGCCAATTTTAACTGATTTTATCATTTATTGAACTCATGACAATAATCTTTTCAACGTTACGAATTTGTTTTACACTACACCGGTTCATGTGTAAACAGTACCTTTAAACAGTCTGGAATATTGGCAAAATTTAGTTTAGAACATTTGACTGAAGTAAGTGGCTACATGTACACTGTTGAGTCTAAACGTTTGAAAGGAAATATATTCTCAAAAGTTTATATTAAATCATATGTTTACGATTAAGAAATGTATAGATATTTTTTTACTGTTAAGTGCCACGGCAGTTCATGGACTTCATGGATTGCAGTGCTATGAGATATTCATTCAAAGGAAATCGATAAAACCATATATAAATGAAATTAATAATTAATAATTAACATGTGCAAGTGTTATATTATTACATATTATGCGCGCGCTCAGACACACACACACACACACACAGACAGACATAATACATACATACATACATACATACATACATACATACATACATACATACATACATACATACATACATACATACATACATACATACATACATACATACATACATATCTTATTAAAATAAGGATGACAAGATCCACAACCAAACATCCTTAAATTAATTTTTAATTTAACTTTCTTTGCCTAGATATACTGAAACAAAGTATGAGAAACAGACTTATGGCAACCACAAAACACACGAGAGATCCCTAGGGGGCCTGCCAATTGCACATGCTAACCCTGTAAAACATATAAGAAAAACACTTTTCATTTAAACTGTTATTAAATAAATTTTAAAACCAAAAATTCAGTTCAACTTACAGTAAATCCTCCGCAGTTTAATTCCCCGTCTTGTTCATTGACAGGTGCCCCTTTATATCCGTACCTCCAGAGCGACGATCTCTGAGGGGGACTCAACAGACGAGCAAAGCCAGAGATCTGATGAAGTTGACACAAAACAATAAATATCTGTAAAATAGTCATCCTGGCTATCACTTCGCTGGAAATGGTTTGTTTTCGGATTCACCATTTAAATAACCAGATGATGACGTCATCTGGTCTTACAGAACAATTATCCGACCTCTTGACCTCATGCGTTGGATGGTTAGAAAGAAAGGTGTGTATGCTGACACCACGCTGTCCGTCGTCATGTCGTACCACGTCCGTCTCAGATGGGCGGGTTGTGTAAAACTGTTGCTTGTAAACAAGACATTTACATATCTTATCCCCAATATTTTTTTTCATTTTATTATAAATGAATTTGAAGTTTTAATCTAATTTAAGATCATCGAATTAAATATTTGTCAGTTTCAATCTGGCATTTGTTAGATCATCGAGTTTGTTTTAAATATTTGTCACAATATCATGAGAGTCATCATTCTGGCATTTGTTTATTGGAGATGATATTGTATGCACAGGATTTCATACATTTCCGCTTCAACATTTGATCTTGTTATTTCCCTGCCACCATTTACTAAACACTAACATGGACTACAGGGAACACCATTCTAACTGCTATAATGGCTTACAGGGGACACCGTAGATCGATACTCATGGTGTTGATCACTGGATTGTTTGGTCCAGACTCGATTACTTACTGACCGCCGCCATATAGCTGGAATATTGCTGAGTGTGGCGTTAAACACCAAACAAACCAAACCGTGCTAAGCACAAACTTGGGTTACAGGAACACCGTTCTAACCCCTAAAATGGGTTACAAAAATGAGCTCCATTCTAACCACTAAAATGGAATACAATGTAAAATGGGTTACAAGGGTCGTTCTAACCACTAAAATGGGTTAATTAGTTACAAGGGGTTACCGTTCTAACCACTGGCCACCATCGTTCTTACAGGGGGCAAGGAGCTCCATTCTAACCACTAAAATGGAATACAATGTACAGGGGCCGTTCACCGTTCTAACCACTCTCGCCAAACCTGGCTTACTAAGGGGTTACAGCTCCATTCTAACCACTAAAATGGAATACAAGGGGTGCCGTTCAACCACTAAAATTAGTTACAGAGGTCAACGCTCTCGCCACCAACATGGGTCACAGGAGTCACATTGTAGTCCGACGTTAATTAGTCAAACATGCAGTTTCCACGCCACGCCTTCCGTAATACCGTGTTTATATTCTGGGGGATTACACCATTTGAAAAGAAACACATTGTTGCACACATGAATAATCCTGACATGAAACGCGGGGCATGTATGACATATGTTGACATGTCAAACAGCTTTAAATAAAAATATGACGAGCAACACAATGATCCCTTGCGACAATAGCAAGAGTGACAAACAGTAGACATTTATTGCTGAAGTTGTGGACAACTGTATCGCCATATCGTCATCATCGACGCTGATTAAAAGAAAGAAGTGACATAAGGTTGAAGACACCTTTCATATTGACGCAGTTCCGGTGTTGATGAAGTATGAAAGCCAGGCTGGTTGCTTTTGTCCAATCAGACACCGTCATATGATCACGTGGTTTCTTTCACGCGAGGTGGCATTGTAGCGGATATGATTGTGTGCAGCACGTGCTATACATGCAAAACGTGATATATGACCGTGATGTAAGTAAGCGACGAGTTTCAGCGTGTAATCCGAACGTAAACAAACCTTAGCGAGACAATAACGGTTGACACCTCGCTGCATTGTTCACGATAGGCTTCACCTGACTGGTGATCTGTTGTCATTCATTCTTGGTAACACACAGATGTTCGTGATCACTTCAACACTCACGTTGGTTTTATTCATGATTATAAACTGTATCAGTCATGACATTGTTAGGAACTCGTCATTCATTATAAATGTGTGTGTGTGCGTGTGTGTGTGTGTTTGTTTTAGAGAGAGAGAGAGAGAGTGTGTGTGTGTGTGTGTGTGCATACGTGCGTGCGTCTGAGAGAGAGTGTGTGAGTGAGTGAGTGAGTTAGTTTTACGCCGCACTCAGCAATATTCCAGCTATATGTAAATAATCGAGCCTGGACCAGACAATCCAGTGATCAACAGCATGAGCATCGATCTACGTAATTGGGATACGATGAAATGTGTCAACCAAGTCAGGCAGCCTGACCACCCGATCCCATTAGTCGCCTCTTACGACAAGCATGGTTTGCTGAAGATCAATTCTAACCCAGATCTTCACGGATGAGAGAGAGAGGGAGAGATGAGGAGGTGGAAAACCAGCGTAAATAAATAAATAAATAAATAAATAAAAATCTATATATATATATTCTTTTTCATGATTTTGTTTGTTAATTACAGATTTTTTAGTGGTAGTTGGGGGCCCTGTCTTGCTTCAAGTGTTTTGACGACCCAATCCGATAGTTCAATAACAATATATTCAATCGAACAATATACAATTCTAAAAGGTTTCATTTTGGAATGACAATGAGTAATGTCACATCTATGTCGAATTTGGAGTGATATTTTTTTTGAATGAACAGCGTATTGAGTTAACGATTTAAACGGCATTTATATTAAAACGCATTGTTTTAATTTGTCAGGAAAATCCGAAATGACGAAGGACAGCGCTCCACGAAGCAATCTTTAGCCCTAAGAGGATCGTAACTCCCATGCCTAACTTGGACTTGTAGTCCAGTCAGTTTATGTGAATACCCACCACAAATTGCAACAGAAATGATTTCAACTGTTTTAAGACCCTGAACCATTCCTTTATAACATATAAAAAGTCTAGGAAAATCTCAGTGGTGGAACAAGGTCAAATTCGACCCTCAAGGTCATAGGGGTCATCTTCGCTTTCGAAATCTTAGATGGAAATGCAAACTTTTTTGTAATCTACTCAATTGTGTCATGTTATATATCAAATAAAAGCTCTGTTTACAGGCTTTTCAAGGATATATTATTTAATAGGATTAGCCTCACCATATATGTTCTATTTTTAAAAACGTACCGAAAATTATGAAAATTGTGTCCCGACATCCACATGTATATGTATGCTACGATTATGCCCAAAATATCATTCTTCAATTGTGTGACAGTTTTTGCATGAAGAAATATTGCGATGGATCTGTATCAACCAATAGTCTATCCAAATAATAATGAAAAAGGTTTGACGATCAATAAGGGGGGGAGCTGTCTAAAGCGCCAGGTTCATGATCCAGTAAGCTTAAGGTGCCGGGATCGAGCCCACCTGTGACCGGGTGGACGCAGCAACGTGCAATAAAACTTGGACAAAGTACTGTGACTATGTGTCCCAGTCCACCCAGTTGTTAATGGGTACCTCGGTAGGATGGGAAAACAACATAACTCGGCGTGCCTAGTGATCCCCCAGGGAGTTGAGATTGAAAATACGATGTGCCGTTGAGATTGACATCCAATGGTCAAGGGAAAAACAACTTCGGTAGCGCCTTAGAGTAATATAGAAGTAGTTCAAATAGGGCACTATAGAAATGTGGAATATAATAATAATATACATGTAATAATATTATTTTATATCAACACATTTTCATCAGATGCAATGATGGAAAACAAGTCATTTAATGATTGAAAGTTATGTAAGAGAGTTCTCTTTTACTCAGATTCATAAATGGTATTTCATTATGAATTACCTGAGTTCATTAGCTAATCTTCTTTGACTGACATGACAATGCCCTTTTTTCAATTTACTTTACAATTCATTGGTTACACTTCCTTGACAGAATGGCAATGTCCTTTTCCAGTTTACTTTACAACAGTTCTCTGATTGCATCATCCATCGCTGATCTGTTCTGCTGTTACTGATTCAATTGGCTAGTTGAATAATTTCCCTGAAACATAGATCGTCCTGAAACTTTTTCATGGCAACAGCTTTTCCAATTCCATGGATTCTTGATGTCGTATCACAGCCAAAGACAGCATGTATAAACAAGTTCTGACAAGCATCTTCTCCATGCTTCTTCTTGGTTTCGCTGATATTCCAAACTGGAATTCTTTTCAAAGAACTTTTCTTGGGGGTTGACAGCACAAAGATTCCAGTAGATCCGTGTCGTCCCCTTGACAACTGTTGATGGTATGCCAATGAAACTGCTGTTTGAACTATCACAACATCAGCATCACCAGTGGCCTGAACTGTGTCACATCCTTCAGCTTGGTGATAGGAACACACCATGACGAACTGTTCTTTGTTCTGAACAGTGGCGAGGATGACTCTTTCTTTGATTGTAAGATCGGACTGTCATCAAATTTAACTGTTGGTCTGACAAGTCCACCAGTCCGCCTCATTTGTGTTGCATACTTTCTCGATGAACTTGAGTATCCATCTAACACAACAGTAGCTCTGTCATTGTGTATTTTGACATATGTGCAGTACATGATGCACAACTCAGCATAGGATTCTCCACGTGGCCAAGGTAGAGAATGAAGCAAAGCCCTTCCATCGAGAACATAAACAGCATCAGAAGCTGGACCAGGGGACAAAACCACCATCCAATGTTGATATGAATGAAACCAGGGCAGGTTTGTTTGCTTCCTAGCGGCAATCAGAAACCGTTGAAACACTAAAACTTCACCAATGTTGCAGATTTCTTCTTATTTCTCATTCATTTGTACAACTTGATCTTCTTTCTTGACAACTTGATCTTCCTTTTTGAGACACGTGAAGGTTCCGGGTTAGAATATTGATTTTCAGTAACCCATGCTTGTCGTAAGAGGCTTGTAACGGGATCGGGTGGTCAGCCTCGCTGACTTGGTTGACACATGTCTTCGGTTCCCAATTGCGCAGATCGATGATCATGCTGTTGATCACTGGATTGTCTGGTCCAGACTCGACTATTTACAGACCGCCGCCATATAGCTGAAATATTGCTGAGTGCGGCGTAAAACTAAACTCACTAACTCCTTTTTGAATTTGAAATCGCCAGTGGTTGTGTTTGTCGTACAGTCCAAAATAGAGCTAGCAACTCAACATGCATCATCTGCATTCACAGTTGCACTCTATATGCAGTGTTTCTTTAAGTAGTTTCATGCCCACATTCTTGTCTCTCTCCTGTCTTGAATTGGACATGTCCTTGTGTAGTTCAGAGTTTCTGTTTGTACTACTTGTAAGATCACTCATGGCATTGCTGACTTCCATGCATGATGGCATTGACATAAGCCTTTGCGTTTCAGACATGCCTGCCCCCCTTGTAAGTCCTCCGTT